TATGATCCCAAAAACTCCACGCTTGAATGCGAGTCTTAATCTTTTTCGTTAATTCTGAACATGCATTTGCACTTTACGAGCTTTCATCGTACCTTGGCTACATGTGTTGCACTGAATGTGAAAGCAAATGGCAAATTAGCATGGTTCATGGGAGATATTTGATGAATGTTTGGGGGTAGAAATGCAAGTAGACACAGGTAGCAACTTTGAAACTGACGTCGACGGCGAAAAAAGGACTTTGGGACATTTGTATTTTCTTTACGTGCTTGCTTTCTTTCTTCTTTTTTGGCTACAAAGTTGTTCCTACTATCGCTGATGACGTAACAGGCACTTTCCAGGAGCGCACGCCAAACCTCGCGCCACTCGCCGCGTCATCTGATCCCGAAGCAAAAGGTTTCGCGTAACTACACTAACGGCCGCGCAGCGAGGCGGCGCCACTTGCCGGTGGTCCTTGTCGTTGCACCATCTGTCGTCCCTGTTCGGATGCCATCTACGGAGCACGCAGACGCAACCGTTGTGCACGCAACAGGAGGGAAGGGTTGGAAAGTGTGTTGTTGTTTTTTGCTGTCGTCCCCGCACTGACGTGCGAGAACGCTAATTTTTATATCGGAAATATCAGGGCAGGCCCCAGGGATAGACGTTTGTTCCTTATCCTCCCACATCGCTTCTGCCGTTCCGTAGCCATTTAGCATTACCCCCCAAAAAGCAAGCGCATCCCTCATGAGCACGTATTAATTCTCTTGTGTTCACTGGGCTACCAAATCGATGTAATAAACAACACCCATGCTAGGCTAAGGCAAATGTTTTGGTAGTCATCGCACCCTTCCTCCCACAGCACTTACGATTCAGCTTGTCACGATGCACAAACACCAACACGTCGGTGTACACACTCTCAGTCACACACCCATACACACCCACACACAAACGGCTTGGCAAGAAGAATTCATCGCACTCTTAAACGCTCGGCGTCAAGAAGCATGCCAAAAGTTGGCTCGACACCCGGCTTCAGAAGCTTTGCACTGAGTGCGCCGGGCTTCCCAGACCACCACAGACCCAGTGGCGCCATCTCGCCACCAGCGGGCTGCCAGTGAGACGCAACTGACGCTTGTCTAACTCGGCATCACCTCGGCACCAGCCCGCCACCCTCAGAAGAACGCAACTGCGACGACAAGGCGCCAACGACTTGCACTCACGAACACTTTACCAGATCCAGCACACCAGGCGTGAGCCGGCACGCGGCAGTCAGCCGGAGGCCCACTTACAGAGTTCGGTGGCGTCGGCGCCCTAACTGGACGTGACCTCCAAATCGTGCTTTGATAACAGCCCGAGCCGCGTCCTCTTGGTCGTGCGCGCTCTGACTCGGTCACCAGCCGCGTGTCCGTTTTCTGTCGGTGTGGCGCGCAGCCGGCCCCCTTATGGCGGTCAGGCGTCGCTGAACGCCTGCCGACATTATATCACCACGCACACAACACGTGCGATGACGAAAAGGGTGCCGTAGCATTGAAATCTCTGGACTACAATCTCGCTTTGTGTAGGCATCAACCATCTCCAAATGCAAGATGGGGAACAGTTAAGACCAGAGTCCATCAATAATGCTGGTATGGGGAATGGGCAGTCAAATTGCATCACGGCCTTCTGAAATTGTGGCATCTTGAAGCAAGAAAAATGAGAGATTTTAGCGGTTTTTCACATGTCAACCACCGGTAAGGATGCGTTGCTTCCACCGTTGCCTCTTTGCTGAGAAATTACGCGAAAGTTAACAGGCAAAAACTCAAATGGAATACAAACGAACTGGATTAGAGTAAAACGGCAACAAGGCAAGAGTGCAACAAGTCACACAAAAAAGACAACAAGGAGATGAAACTGATGTGTACGAAGTTCAAGAGGAAGAATAAGAAGAGTCAAAAGAAAAATAGGCAAAAATCGAAAGGGGCGTATACGTCAAATATGCAAGAACAAAAAAGTGCTAACTGTACATTAGCTAACATAAGGGGGACATGTACATAAGTGGGATAAAGTCAGAAGCATAAAAGTAAAAAGATTAGGAGGGGCCGTACCTAAGCCACGTTGCCCCCTTTCTGCCAGCAGAGATTAAGAATGTTTATTTACTGCCCATTTCGGGAAGTCCCTTACGCACCAGCTGAAAGCAGTTCCCCATTTTGTAGTCATGTATATGTTAACGCAAACGCAAAGTAAAGAAAAAAAACGCCAAGCAAATAAACAATAAGCACATGTACAGTTCTCAAACAACACATCACGCATAGCAGCGCTCATCGGCGCTACATATTGGTGACCCGACACAGGTCATCACTGACCGTGGTGTCCAGTTCGAGTCCGTATTGTGGCAACGCCTGCCAGTGCTACTTGGCTGCACTCGGCGTCACATATTGATGACCCGACACAGGTCGCCACCGACCGCGGTGTCCAGTTCGAGCCCGTTTGTGACACCGCCTGCCAGTGCTACTTGGCTGTGCTCAGCATCGTACCACCAGCTACCACCCGCAGAGCAACGGCATGGTGGAGACGTTCCACCGACAACTGAAGACAGCTCCGAGAGCGGCGGACTCGGCGACACGCTGGACCAGCCCCCTGTCACTGATTCTGCTCGGCGTGCGCTCAGCTCTGAAAGAGCACGTGGGCTGCACACTTGCGTGGCTCGTTTACGGTACGGTGTTTGGGCTTCCAGGAGAGTTTTCACCCACCAACCCAGCACGGCGCCGCTGAGTCCAGCGTCCTTCGTCAACACCGCCCGGCGGGACATGCGGCAACTCCGCCCGGCACAGCCTTGACAGCCGCCGCGGACGGTCACCTTCATCCCCCTAAAAAAAACTGGCAGACTGCATCCACGTCTTTGTCCGGCGAGACGTCTCCAGCGCATTGCTATGGTTATTTCGATGGCTGCAGGTGGTCGTCAAAGATCGCCACCATCCCGTGCAAGGGCAAGGAAGAAGTCGCCTTCGTAGACCGCGTCAAGCCAGACTTCTTGGATCCACCATCCAGCTGCGCGATGATGCCTGGCCATCTTGTCAGCCTGCTGAGGACATCGTTCAGGTGGAGGGGCCGTGGCTGCTGCTGTGCCCAGCGCCAGAGCGGCCAACGCGGATTGCTACTCCGCGCGTGCCATGTTCGGATATTGCCGATCGCCAGACACGAGTGCCACGTGTTGGGAGGGGAAGTGTAGCGGAACGAAGTACAAATTGGGTCACTAATACGTGGTGCCGATGGGCGCTGTTACGTGTGATGGATACTAAGTGCTGTTTGAGAACCGTGTGTGTGTGTGTGTGTGTGTGGTGTGTGTGTGTGTGTGTGTGTGTGTGTGCATGCGTGCGTGCGTGCGTGCGTGCGTGTGTGTGTGTGTGTGTGTGTGTGTGTGTGTGTGTGTGTGCGTGTGTGTGTGTGTTGTGTTTGTGTGTGTGTGTGTGTGTGTGTGTGTGTGTGTGTGTGTGTGTGTGTGTGTGTGTGTGTGTGTGTGTGTGTGTGTGTGTGTGCGTGTGTGTTTATTGTCTATTTGCTTTGCCTTTATGCTGGACAATTTTATACGTTCTTTGCCCACCAATGATTCCCCTCTCACCCGGTGTCGGTGCGCTGGTCGGGTAGTCTGCGTCATGAGTTGCTTAATGTGACAGAACGCTTGCTCAGTGTCGGCAGACTAGGCGATGAAGCAGTGATTCTTTGACGCCTTCTTGCTGAGCAGGTTGTTCAAAGTGGCAAGCAGCGCAACGGCGTCGGATGCAAAGCCATGGTAATATGCCACGTTCCAATGCAACGTCGGAGCTGTTTTTGTGGTCGGCTGCGGAAAATCCTGTACTGCGAATATCTTGTCTGGAAGGTGAGTGGTGGCGAGCTCAGTTACTTCGTGACCGAGTAACTGGACTTTACCGGTCCCGAAGACGCATTTCATCTCCTTGCCGACGAGTCCGAAGTTGCCAAGTCGTTCGAGGACCAGTTGAAGATGCCCGAGGTGCTTCTCCTCCGACTTGCTGGCGGCTAGGATGTCGTCCAGATAGACAAATGTTTCTGGCACTCCATACGACACTTTATCCATGAATCGTTGGAAGATTGGCTAGCATTGTGGAGGCCGAATGGCAGACAGACCATCTTAAAGAGTGCGAATGGCGTTGTGATGGTGTTCTTCGGAACATCCGACGGCTCCACCGGGATCTGGTTGTATGCCCGCGCCAGATCTATCTTGGAAAATACTTTGCAACTGTAGAGGTGCCCGGCGAAGTCTTGCAGGTAGGGCGCCGCGTATCGGTTCGGAACTGTGGCAGCGTTCAGCGCATGAAAACCCTGCTGGGGCACCACTCGCCGAAGTGGACTCCGGGACAAGGTGGAGCGATGAGGCCCACCTGCTCTTGAGCGGTCTCCGGGTGCCGAGCTCGCGCGATTTGTTAAATCTCTGTGCCATGCCAGCTTGGTCCGGAAACAAGCACCGTGGTCGCACGACACACAGTGGTCCAGTCGTGATGATGTGGTGCGTCACAGAGCGGCGCACCGCAGCTGGTCTTGCAGGGGATGCTGTCACGCGATATCACTACGTGCAGGTAAGTCCTTTTGTCAAAATTGATAAAATCAAGGCCTCAATTTTCACATTCGATTCCAGGCCCAAGTGGATGACTGACGAACTATTTCTTCTCGAGTGGGGGTTTTTCAACACACTTAACGTACTTTATTTTGACGAAGGGTAAATTTGTATCGAAAGTCTGCTCATTTCCGAACTTCTGCTGCAGCCTGCAAGACGCAGATGCTATCGCAATGTCCACAATCGTTTCAACCCCATTCACGGACGCCGAAAATTAATATTTATGTACTTCTTCAATAACATTCATTTGTTTTCAACTTCTGGCTGCAGAAATGTATACATTTGGCAGAATTTGACCAAAGTTTGACTGCACCAGAAAAGTTGGCATCACTTTAGAAGGAGGCATTTAACAAATAGCGCCATATATGGGTATGATCGAAGCCATTGTGACGCTTTTCGTGACCGCCATCAACTGCGGGTGCCCTGGCCAGGAACGGTTCTAGGGCGTTACAACATGTCAATATTTGTATCTGGGTTGTTGTGACATTTGGTAAAAATTGCAGGAGGTCCTCCGGCGCGCTATACATGGTGGCATCCTGTGAAATGACCTGGTAATACCACAAGAAAACTGCTGTGTGTCCAATATTTGCGTTAGTCGTTCGCGTTTGATCTCCACGGTGTGAGCCGGCGGGTCTTACTCAAGATCGCAATGGATTGCGCGGAGAGCTCAGTCGGTGAGGATCCAGGAGTGGTGCATTCCACTGGCAGGGTATTTGTGGGCTGTATTCATACTGTGACTGTCTGTTGACCACCCATTCCATTCCATTTGCATACACTATGCTGCATCTGTGATTGGGAATGCCTTGAATGTTACTGTTAGTCGTGTTGGTTGCTGATCAGAGCACATTTTGGTGGGTGCATCATGCTACTTGCATTTTTGAAGTGTGTTTATTTAACTGTTCATTGTGATTGGTGTGAATTGTAGATGCTCTTAAATGGCTTAATGTATGCTGTGTAATCCCACAAATTGGTGATTGGTCCCTTAAGTCAGCAGTGGTTTTGGATACTGCTGATAATGAAGTGGTTATGTATGCCTTTTTATGATGTGATGTATGGAACTGTTCAATGTGTAATAAAAATTTGCAAATACCCCAAAGACGAAATTGGGCCTGCTGAGCTGTTGAGGAGGATGCTAGTTACCAGGGTCCAAGTTAACCTCTTGGATGAAGTCTTGATTACTCCCTGTGCTGGCCTGGGCCACTTCATTGCATGCTGTTCTTGGTCAGTCCATGGTATTCAGCTCCAAAGGGTCCCCAATGTTGCAAAACACAGAGTCCCATCCTGGCTGAAGCTGAAGATATGTGCTAGATTCTGCCCTAGTGGAATGGCTCCAACTTCTACTCACAGGACACATTGTCACCTGCAATGCTGACTCTTGGGCAGCACAGCATAGTTCTGCAATTATGACTTGATGAGACATGATGTAATTGTGTGATCCACTTTGATGGTGTTGCGCTAGCAATAAGCAAGACATTTATGAATGACAATATAATGATATGTGACATTAGTGTGAAAACTTGTCTTTTGGTACCATGAAAGCATGTAAATTACAAATATGTCGATAACAAGACAGTGATACATATGTTTGTTCTGTATGTTGTCTATGCAGGATCTGTCAAAATAAAAGCATGCATTGTTATTAGAAGTCTAGAAGGTATCAAGGCCACTGAAGTCACATTTTAGAAAGATATGTGGAAAGAAATAGCATACCATCCTAATTCATTCTGTTCCTGGATGCATAGAATGTTGTAGAGCACTTGTCTGACTTATTTGGCATCATCCTTTTTGTGAGGAGTGTTCTCTTAGCACTGTATGAATTATGTATAAGTCTGATCTTAGTATAATATCATGCTTGCACTCTCATTGAACCAAATCCATTGAGCAATACAACTCAGGAGAACATACAAACTTAACTTGCTTGCTAGACATTATGAGAGGTAAGGGCACCTTAGTGCCACTTGTTTTTTATTGGTACATTTGTATATGGATGTGCCTGCATATATTTCAGGGAGCTGGCTAGGCTTCTTCACGGGTGCTGGTCTGCCTACCCGTGTGGCAGCAGACTATGCAGTCACCTTCAGCGACAACAGGATGAGGCTGGACATGCTGCCTGACCTGAGCAAAGATTACCTCAGGGATATGAATATCACAGTAATGGGCGATGTTATTGCCATACTCAAACATGCCAAAGCTGTCAGCCAACAGGTGAGCCATTCAGGTTGTCAAGGCACTGTTCATCAAGTTGGCATTGTAGTTCACAAAGTTGCAGTTGAAGGGTAGGTGTATGAGTGGCAGTGTCTCAGGTGTTCAGAGTTCGTTGGAATCAAGGTACTGTTTTTTTTGGCCATGAGTATATTTTAGTTCTAGGACAAATGGACTCAATAAACTGTGTCATTAGGCTCCTTCTATCCTGTGTCTGTCATCCATGTGATGGTTGGTGTACAATGTATGCAGGAGTACACGGCTCGGAAGATCGGCGTAGGCGCGGCGGCGACCCAGCGGACTTCCGGTCGGCCGGAGGCGGCGGCACCACCGCCGGCGCCCCGTGCCGCCGTCCGGCCGCTGCCGGCCGAGCCAGCCGCCCGGCCGCCACCGGACCGCGCCGGCGTCGGCCGCACCAAGCGCGCCGTCGACGCCGACGACGACGGTACGTGCTCACCCGCTGGTGACGACATTGCACGGGCCCGGTCGTGCCGTCATCCGCGGCGACCAGAGCTGACATGCTGTGGGAGAGGCTGCTAGCATGAGTTACCTGCGCCGCTCATGGGCATCACTGAAAATTGTGTGTGTTAAGTTGCAGTGCAAGGGAAGAATACCACGCTGACACAGTGTGTTTGACGCGAGCGCAAGACTCTTACCTTGTTATCGTCCCCGTTTTGACTGACGGGATATTTGGGTTCGTCCTCGCCAGGCTGGCGGTGGGCAGCGCCGCCGACAGCCAGGCGTCGGATCGTGCCGCCGGGGCCGGACGCGCCGCACGTCGACATGCCAGGTCGGTGGGCCCGTGGGGCCGCGGGTGCGACACGGCAGCGATGTCAGCTGGACACCAGATGCTCGGATCGCCAGCGTTAAGCTGCTTAACCCACTCCCGGATGGCTGTGTGTCCGGTACACGCCCTCGGTGACGGACAGCCGTTTGGCCTTGCAGCATGTTCTTGTGTCCATTGGTTGAATTTCGTCGGACGTTGCGCGTGCGTGCGCGCACGCACGCGCAACGTCCGACGAAATTGCGAAATTGCGCGCGTGCGATGCGTCGGTCAGCATTGTGACGCGGGCCGATGTCCCTGGTGCAGTAGCTGTTCGGCAGAGAGTGGCCGCACCGGAGCGGATGAGGCCGGCTGCACCGGCGCCGAGCCGACTCCGGCCGCCGCCGACGCCACCGACGCCGCCGCCGGCCCCGGCGCCGGCGCCCCAGGCGGGCGCCAGGCCGCGCCGCACCGCTGAGAGCCGGGTCAGCTCCACCACCGGCGAGGGCACGCGGTTCGCCGTCACCGGACTGGGTGGTGGCGCGGCGGTCTCGCAGCTGCTGCAGGTGCGGTTTGGCGACGGTCCCGCAGCCGGGACGGGTGGGACCGGGCAACCCGGCGTGGCTCGGCGCGCTCCACTCGTATCGGTCATATCTGAATGTAAGGATGTGCGCTGGCGCTGTTGTGCCGTGCGATGTACGCATCATAGCCCTGTGTGCTTGCTGTGTTCGTAGACGTTACGGTTTGTAGACGTGGCCGGAGTACAAGGTGTGTGTGTGTGGTGTGGGTGTGTGTGTGTGTGTGTGTGTGTGTGTGGTGTGTGTGTGTGTGTGTGTGGTGTGTGTGTGTGCGTGTGCGTGGAGTGTGTGTGTGTGTGGTGTGTGTGTGTGTTGCGTGTGCGGGCCTGTATGTGTGTGGCGCGGTGGTGTGACGTGGGCGCCGTCTCCGCAGCGGCAGCCGCTCGGTGGCCGGCCGGCCGAGGCTGCTGCGCTCGCCAGCGCATCACGTTCGCCGGTGGGGCAGCAGGAGGAGCCGCGCCCATCAGGAGGACGGCCGCGCCAGGTACGCAGACGGCGACTCGGCCCCGCCCACGGCTGGCTCGGTGACCGCCGCCGGGCCGCCAGCCGGCGTGCCGCACCGAGCCCGGCAGAACTGACCCTCACTGACGCAGAACGCCGCCAGTGACCGGCGTACCGCACCGAGCCCGGCAGGACCCTCACTGACGCAGAAGCCGCCCAGTGACCGGCGTACCGCACCGAGCCCGGCAGTGACCCTCACTGACGCAGAAACGCCGCCAGTGACGGCGTACCGCACCAAGCCCGGCAGTGACCCTCACTGACGCAGAAGCCGCCAGTGACCGGCGTACCGCACCGAGCCCGGCAGTGACCCTCACTGACGCAGAACGCCGCCAGTGACCGGCGTACCGCACCGAGCCCGGCAGTGACCCTCACTGACGCAGAACGCCGCCAGTGACCGGCGTTACCGCACCGAGCCCGGCAGTGACCCTCACTGACGCAGAACGCCGCCAGTGACCGGCGTACCCACCGAGCCGGCAGTGACCCTCACTGACGCAGAACGCCGCCAGTGACCGGCGTACCCTTACATACATACACAACTGGCGTATGGCTAGTAAAAACACAAGAGCTGCCGGCGCAAAATAGTTCACAAAGGCTCGGCACTCGGAAGGACGTGATGGAGTAGGTTATTAAACTGTTGCCTCCGATCTGTTCAGGATTTTCGTGTTGACGCGGTTCTAGTCTACTGATAGAAAGATTTTCCGAGATCACCATTATCCCATCTTAACTTGGTTTGGTGTATGTCAGAATTGCTGTACATTCCATCTGGCGCTGCACGCCAGATACCGACTTCGTATTAGGTGGTAGCTGCACTGAAGGTCACCTGTGGTCGTACATTGCACTGGAGCATCCGTCAGAATCGCGAAAGCGGCCAGTCGCGGAGATGACAGGAAGTGCTCCTGAAGTGTATCCCGGTCAGCCGATGGACGCTGGAGCGCTCCTGAAGCGTGTCCCGGTTAACCGGTGGACGCCGGGGGCCCTCCTGAAGCGTATCCCGGTCAGCCGGTGGACGCCGGGGGCGCTCCTGAAGCGTATCCCGGTCAGCCGGTGGACGCCGGGGGCGCTCCTGAAGCGTATCCCGGTCAGCCGGTGGACGCTGGGGCGCTCCTGATGCGTATCCCGGTCAGCCGGTGGGCGCTGGGGCGCTCCTGATGCGTATCCCGGTCAGCCGGTGGACGCCGGGGGCGCTCCTGAAGCGTATCCCGGTCAGCCGGTGGACGCCGGGGCGCTCCTGAAGCGTATCCCGGTCAGCCGGTGGACGCCGGGGCGCTCCTGAAGCGTATCCCGATCAGCCTTTGGGCGCCGGGGGCGCTGGCCGTGGCTCGTGGTCAGCGTGTATCATACAACACATTCTGTGCCGAGATTCAGCTCTCCCTCATCCGCCCAGTCACTACTCAGACGATTTTGAGGCTCCTCTGTACACACCGTCACGCGACCAGTGGGTTCAGGACGAAATTGCCGCATATCTTTACGTATGGCTGCAGACAGCGAGTACAAGAATAGGGTTGCACCAGGCTTCTGTACCGCCGGACAGCGAATGCTATCCATGTGGGCCCGATCACTCCATCTGCTGTCGTGTTGGATAGCAGATTTTCGTGCAACGATGTGCTAGTAGTAGATTGTAGGGCACTGTTTCCCGGTCTGGCATGGTAGGCAATCATCCGCCCAGCACGGTTAGAATGGTGTTTCTCACTCTGCGCAGTCGGATGTTCACGCTGAGTAAGGAGTTTGGAGTAATTTGACTGGTGATAATTGACCTCTGGTGCACGAGGAAGCACTGGGTAAATGACGTTCTTAGGCAAGCATGTGTAGGCCGAGGTGTCGGGGAGAGGGGGGGGGCAAGTGCGGTGGGGGGGGGGGGGGGGGGGGGGGCGGGATGGGCGTGCTTTTGAGGCTTCGCAACTTATGTCGTGTCCAAGGATGGGAAGATATTTCGTATAGTGCATTCAGAGTTGAACGCCATCGACAAATTAGAGATTTCTTGCAGTGGAGGGGTCTCTTCGCAGGTGTTCACAGATTGGGAATCAAGACGCTTCTGCTTTGAAATGCATTGCAGTATCAAGAATATTTGTATTGGGCTACAAGTAACCTTTATATGTAGCTGTCTTCCCAAACTTAGATTCGCCGAAATTGGCGTAACTGATTTCCACTGGCCTAGTTTGTTTGGTTTAGTAGAATACAGATGGTAGCCCTCAGTATGAAAATACGTACGTGCAACGGTGGCTCTATGGCTTATGGTTATGTATCGCCATCCTTCACTCGTACATTTGCACTTTTTTAGTATTTGCCACGTGCTTTGTCGGGAAGTGCCTTTTGTAATGTCGAGAACTTGTGGGTTTGGCTATCTGGAGGGGATAAAGTCAGTGTGAATGGACCCGGACCCCCGCATGGGATTCTTGTCGTTTCCGGTTGCTTTTTTAGCCCCACAGGCACTCATGGACGAGAACGTGGTTTTGTACGTGTACACGTGTATTTACTTGTGTACAGAGGTGTGTGCTACAGCTCACATAACACATGCATGCTGTGGACCATGATCATGGTAGTTTTCCTCCCCCTTTGATAATGCTAATTCGCCTCCCCTCCCCCTACGGTTATGATGTTCTCGTCTATAAGGTAGGTGGTATGCCATGCCGAGCATCGTGACGCGCCTTGTGTGTCGTGCGGTGGGGGCGTGCCGCCTGCGGGTGCGGTCGGCGCCGCTAACCCCAGCTGTGTCCTGTCTGTCGCAGCCGCTGTCGCGCCGGCGCGAGGACCGCCTCGCCGCCGGGTGGTGCCGCCGCCGGAGTGGCCGGTCCGGCCGTCGGACCGCGGCCAGCCCGACGCCCGGCCGGCCGTCCCTGTGGAGCCGGCCCGCTCGCGGGTCCGGCTGGGCGGCGCTGGGCGTGAGGAGCGGCCGGCGGCGGCCGGGCACGGCGTCCGCTCGCGGCTGGGTGTGGCCCGTGTCCGGGTCACCGCCAGCGGCGGCCAGGTGGTCCGTCTGAAGGGCAGTTCCGTCTACAGCCGGCTGGGCACGTCCGAGCGCTGAGGGGAGCGCCGCAGCTCTGCCTACAGCCGCTGAGGGGCGCGCCACAGTGCCCATCACCCCTCGGCTGCTCCAGCCAGTGCCCATGGAGCCGTCAGTGTGGCGCTGGCAGCAGGCCAGACGCCACGCTGACCTGGGCCGCCGGCAAGCTGTCGCGGAGTCAGGCCGGCAGGGTCTGCAGGGTCTGGCCAGACGCCACGCTGACCTGGGCCGCCGGCAAGCTGTCGCGGAGTCAGGCCAGCAGGATCTGCGGGGTCTGGCCAGACGCCACGTTGACCTGGGCCGCCGGCAAGCTGTGGCGGAACCAGGCCGACAGGGTCTGCAGGGTCTGGCCAGACGCCACGCTGACCTGGGCCGCCGGCAAGCTGTGGCGGAGCCAGGCCGGCAGGGTCTGGCCAGACGCCACGCTGACCTGGGCCGCCGGCAAGCTGTGGCGGAACCAGGCCGACAGGGTCTGCAGGGTCTGGCCAGACGCCACGCTGACCTGGGCCGCCGACAAACTAGCGGAGCCTGGCCGGCAAGG